ACTTAATACATTTTAGGCGATGTGCTATATTCTGTGGATAGAGAAAAGGTGATCCCTGCCCTTGAGAAAATCCCAACCAGGCAGAGAAACAGCCACCGGGTTGAGTTTTGTTCCAAGTTAAAAAGTGGTTAAGGGTCATAGTTGAACCAGTTATGTGTCCCCTAAGACTTATGATCTTATGACCAATGATGCTGAGTTTAACTTTTTTTTCTTTTTTATTGAGATTTTAACGAAAGTTTACCAAGAACTTGGATTTCCATTCATTCATTGTTGCACATTTTTCTCCCCACCTCCATCCCCAGTTTGCATTTCTCTTTTAAAAAATTGTTCCCACACCCCTGTTTATCGTGGCTTTGGTCACAATAGCAAGGAGTTGGAAACAACCTAAATGCCCATCAACAAACGAATGGGTAGAGAAGCTGTGGTATATTCGCACAATGGAATACTATGTTGCATTGAAAAACAAGGAACTCATGCAATATTATTCAAAATGGGTGACCCTGGAGGACATTATGCTGAGTGAAATATCTCAGTCACAAAAGGACAAATACTACATGGTGCCACTGCTGTAGGATGGGACTGACATCAGGGTTGGGGAAAGACTCAGAAAAACTGGATAAATTATGTATACGCCATTGAAACAGATGTGGGAGAGAAAAATTTAAAAGCGATATATGATAGGGTATTATCACAAGAGTCCAGAATTAAGGTTGCATAGTGGAGTGTACTTGGGGGAATTGTATATCAAAGAAAGAATTTTTCTTTTACTTTTCACAGAGACATGCAAACTTGGCGGGGGGCGGGGAGGGCTGGGCAGGGAGAAAAGTACAACAGTGAATGAATGGAAATCCAAAATCTCTGTAAATGTTCATTAAAATTAATAAATTTTTTTAAAAAAAATCATTGTTGCCGTTTTCTCCCTCCCCTCCCCCTAGTCTACTTTGCTATGTACCTCTCATTTTAGACTGTTGTCATGCAGATACTACCTAACCATATATTCCTTTTAAACAGTTCTTTCCCTCATCTGTTTCAATGCAAAGTACATTATTTATTCCCTCTTTTCTTAGTTTCTACCTGACCCCTATGTCAGTCCTGTTTTATAACAGTGGCATTATGCAGTATTTGTCTTTTTCTGACTGAGATATTTCACTTAGCATAATGTCCCTCTGGGTCCCTCATTTTGTATATTTCATGGATTTCTTGGGGGGTTTTTCAGTGCAGCTTAGTATTCCATTGTTCAAATATACCACAGCTTCTGTATCCATTCATTTGTTCATGTTCCCATCTCTTTGCTATTGTGAACAACACAGCAGTAAACCATAGGTGTACATCTATCTGGTTCCTGTGTAGTCAACAAGTAAGGTCTTAAAGTCGTCTTGTGTGTTTTTTTAAAAAAGTCATTTGTTATGAATAAATCATTAAATGTACAAAATTCCATCTCTAGTATCATTTCTGTCACCAAGATTATTCTTTCCACCTACCGTTCCTTCCTCATTGTTTCTGACTTTGGCATTCCAGTCACCAGTAATTAGGAATGACTTTTAATTGCATGTTTGGTCAATTTTGGACTGCAAATGTGGGTAGAAACCCTCAATTTCCCCCTCTTTGGCTTTAGTTGTTAGTCTGTATATTTGTATTAATAGTCATATGAACAGGTCTTGTATGCGTATGGATAGTATCCTTTCCCTCACAGATTGTACTTTAGGATACAAATTCAAGCCTGGACTTGAGATATGCTATAAGCAAGATCTAGGAAGCATCAAATGAAGTAGAAGGTGTAAACAGAGGCATGATACCAAACAGAATGGACTGATGCTGAAAAACTCCAAGAAGTATCATAGGAACAAGAGCCAGTGGTAATAAAAGAGGACGTTTGTGCTACACTGAAGGCATAGACAAAAAAATACATAGTTCCCGGAATTGATGGGATATACCAATTGACAACATGTTAAACTAACATATGCAACGCTGGATGGGCTCACCTGTCTATGCCAGAAAATTTGGAGGACAGATCCCTGGCCAATTGATTGGAAGTGGAAGAGATACTTATTTTGTACCCAATTCCCAAGAAAGTTGATCGAAGAGAATGTGGAAATTATCACTAATATCACCAGAAAGCGAACTATTGCTGAAGATCATCCAAAAATTCCTGGAACAGTACATTGACAGAAATGCTAGAAGTTCAAGTAGGGACTAGAAGAGGCATCAGGGGATCATTGCTGATGGCAGATGCATCCTGGCTGAAAGCAGAGTATGCCAGAAGAATGTCTTGTTTTTTATTAACTATGCACCAGCATTTGACTGTATGAATCACAACAAACTATGGCTAATCTTCAAAAGAATGGGAATCCTAGAACACTTAATTGTTCTCATATGAAATCTATATCTAGAGAAAGAAGCTATTGTCTGAACAGAGGCAAGGGAACACTGCATAGTTTAAGTGTTCTGGGATTCCCATTCTTTGATTACCTTTCTTGGGAATGGGTACAAATACCCACATTTGCAGTCCAAAATTGACCAAACATGCAATTAAAATGCATTTATAATTATTGGTGACTGGAATGCCAAAGTCAGAAATAATGAGGAAGGAACGGTAGGTGGAAAGAATAATCTTGGTGACAGAAATGATACTAGAAATGGAATTTTGTACATTTAATGATTTATTCATAATAAATGACTTTTTTTTTAGAAAACACACAAGGTGACTTTAAAACCTTACTTGTTAACTACACAGGAACCAGATTGCCTATATCAGTAAAAAGAATAGTTGGAGAAACTCAGTATCATAGTCAAAATCAGGCCAGGCACTGACAGTAGACAGACTGTCAATTACTTACATGCAAGTTCAAATTGAAGGTGAAGAAAATGAAAACAATCCCAAAAGAATTAAAATACAATTTTTAATCTATTCCACCTGAATTTAAAAGTCATCTCATCATGTTTGAGACACCAGTGATCAAAGACCAAGGAGTGAGATGACATCAAAGAAGAGAGCAAAAAGGTCATTACAGAGGAAAGGGGGAAATGGAAGTCAGAAGACATAAAAATTGTGTCAAGCTGTCGAGAAGCCAAAACAAAGGAGAAAGATGCTGAAGTAAAAGAGCTAAGCAGAAGATTTTATAAGGTAGCTCAAGAAAACAAAGAAAAAATATTACAAAAAAATTTGTAAAGAGGTGGAGTCCTGCTCAGATTGTTAATAAAGCACAATAATTATCCATGTTAACACTAGCTGTTGCGTTATTCCATAGAAATAAGTTTTCTACAAAATACTCTTTAAAATAAAACTTTTATATAGTTCAGCCATTTACACTTTAGTCACTATATACCTATTCTTGAATTTTGTGGTGACATATCTAACATAATTTACCATTTTTTTAATTGTATTATTTTTTACGTGTACCGTCAAATCAGATCCTACTGATAACAGGAGGAGATTGCCCCTCCTTCTCCAGCATAATTTACCATTTTTAACAAATGTTTTAAGTGTACATTTCAGTGGCATTAAGTAAACCCAAAATGTTGTAACTATCATCACTGTCTGCCTTGGGAATATTTTTATCACTCCAGATACTCTATACCCATACATTGACTTTTTCACTCCTCTTCATACAATCATTTTATCTGAATAAGACATTCTAAATGTAATTGATATTTATTTTAATGATTCAGAGTTATTTTTGAGTTCTATAGTTTAATATTGAACTTGGTTGATATTGAACTGTGAGTAGCCACTTGATCCATATACATGTTTCCTGTATTTTCGCATTTACTTTTGGATTCATAGTTGAAGTTTGAATGGTTAAGATAATTCTGAGTCCAAATAAGTAGACTTTGTAAGTTAAAAATTTTTTGTTATCTATTTTACAAAATGTAAATCATATACACTGCTTAAATACTGATAATAGTCGTGTGTGTGTGTGTGTATGTATGTATGTTATGGTTTTATGCCATCGAGTCACTACGACTCAAAGAGACCCTATTAACAGTGGCTCTGAGCTTTGTCCTATCCTGATCCTATTTCACTGTCTCAACACACCTGACCCCATTGCCACAGTCACTGTGTCATCCCATCTCATCAAGGCTATATGTATAAATGTGAGAGTGTGTGTGTGTGTGTGTGTGTGTGTGTGTGTGTGTGTGTGTCCCAAAGGAATTAACTGTACTTAATTTTTAGAACCTTTTGTAGAATTTCTCAGGTTTATACATCCAGACAAAGGCTGAAGTCAGCTCATTCTGTCATAAGAAGTAAGATAAATCACCATTGTCTTAGCAGGTTTAAATTCAAGTATGTTTCAATTATCAGATGAAAGGCTTCTAAGCTGTTTAGATATTCTATCTAGTTTCCTTGGGTCTGATGCTCGGCACATTGCCTTGCAGTAAAATTTAGGTGGATTGATTCAGTGACTGGGTTAATGGGGAGGGAGTGTCAGAGACAGTGTGATTGGCACAGGACAGAGCAGAGTTTAGGGCTGTTGTACATATGGTCGCTATGACTTGCAAGCGACTTGACGGCATATAACAACAGCATTGACTCTGATTATTGTGGTTCTTCGATGGCTCTTCCTAGTCTAGGAAACTGCAAGATTACATAATTGAAGTTTTTTTTTAAATTTTTTTTCTTTTCAAGTGAATAGAATCAGTAAAAATTCATCTTCGTGTTACTAATTATTAAAATAATAAAAAGAAACTGTAACATACATAAAATAAATATACCTTGGATAGGTATTCTTTAATATATAATAAGTCTACAAGCATATGGCAGCGTAATAACCAGTTGTATTTACCTTATTTAAACTTTTATGTAAAGTTGACTTTTTAATAAATGTTTAACCTATAAAGATTGATGTACTGACTAAACATTTAAGCAGTTTATTTTCTTTAATCCTTGATTTTTGTTAAAGATGCCTGATTTTTGAATCTTGATCATTGCTTGTTTTAAACAGTGTAAAATATGTTTAGCCTGATGCTGGTGTAAGGTACATGAGTTGTTTCTTCTCCAGAGCGAAGTCACCCTGCTGAGAAATGAAGTGGCACAGCTGAAACAGCTTCTTCTGGCTCATAAAGATTGCCCTGTAACCGCAATGCAGAAGAAGTCTGGCTATCATAGTGAGTAATGTTCCATTACCTTGCGCCTTAGGCTACATCAGTGAAATACCACAAGTTTGAACCTAGTTGCCATTAACAAATGGCTGTGGTTCAGATTTTTAAGATTCAATATCAGAATTTCTTGAGGTTATTATGGAATAAGAGGGTATGTTTCTTAGAAACTAGAGAGTTTTATGAATTTTCCAACTTCCAGGATTTTCTAAGTGTTGTTATAAGTTAACGGAAAGGATTAGGTGATAATTTTAAGATATCCTATAAGTACTGATGATCCTTCATGTATCTCAGGGTAATACTTTATCTTCAGGATTGACAAAGGGAAACTACTTCCATTCCAGCCTCCATTCAGTAATGAGAAGATTTTCATTTTCTAAAAAGTCAGCTTCACTTAGGAGCATATAGTATCTTTGTTAAGTGTCAGGTCCTATTGTTCTTTGTTATATGTCACCACTGTATAATGTTTTTACTGTTTTGAGCCTTTATGTTGAGATTTTTGGTAATTCATAAAAATGTTAATATAGAATGTTACTTAAGTTATCTGATTGTATGTTTCCTTTTAAATGTTTTCTCCAAAAGTAAGATTAGTCTATTTTCAGCATTTTAAAGATTAATCATGCTTTTTCTTTCTTGTAATGTCCTTCTTTTTGATAAGATACACAATGTTAGAACCAGCTGTTACTCTTGAATAAATGGCCAATTTTGTCCATTGTACACAAATTTGTAACAAATAACAGATCTGGGAATGCATTAGGCAACATTCATAATATATAACCCAGCTTTCGTTTTTATGATTTAGTGATATTTCAGGATATTTGTAAATGTGAAGATTGTTTCAGCCATATGTATCCACTTCATTTTAATTTGCCAGTGTCAGTAATTCAAAAGAAAGAAACATTTGTATTGGATGCAAACAGTTCCTCAGGTGCTCACGATAAAACTTAATGGCTACTATCTTTACTTGTAGTCATTGTAAGCAGTTTCATCAAAATGGGCAATATTTTTTAATTTAAAAGATTCAGGAGATTTAGCAACTCTCTATTGCCATATATATTTAGAACACTGATTTTTGTCAGTTTTGTGAATATAAATAAATCTCATTCAGTCCTTTGATATATCTAGTCATTTTGACAGGATGGTAAGACACATTGTGGAGAAAATTGGAACCGTATAGAAATATGTTTGAGATTTATATTAACAATGATTGCTGCAGGGAAGAAACCATTATGGTTCCCATCTGACTAACAACATAATTTCCTATAGAAGCTACTGAAGACAGCATTATGCATGCGTGATTTTCCTAGACAGGAACGCTTTCTTGAATTCTGATAGTTCAAAAGGAAATATATGAATGATTCTATAAAACCAAAAGGAAACAACTCCTCTTAAATTATATTCCATTGTTAATATATCTGCATTTTTAAAATTTTAAATCATGTCTTGTATGATCTCAACACTTGTATCTGCATTATCCAATTTCAGCAAATACAAACTAACTTTTCACCTTTGATGTACAGCTATACTTTTAATAAATATTCAGATACTAGATTCTAAAAATAAAATTATTTTTAAAAATCCCCTCTTTAATAGTACATTTTAAGTAACATTACAGTATTGTACTATGTTATGAGAATGTAGGAAGTAAGACATTTTTGCAGATGCAAGGGTTGAGAAGGACAACAGAAGTCTGGCAGTTGACACCACTCACTCTGCAGCAGTCTTCTTACTTCATCTGTGAAGCAACTCTACTCCATCCTGTAGCATAATCATTAGACTTAGCAGCTACTTTTGCCCTCTCTGGTCATATAAATCATCAGGTTGACTAAAGTATAAAGTTATAGCATAAAATTTGTTCTCTTTATCTCCTGATCAGAAAAGTAATTTCTGCATTCAACCTTGACATTTTTTTTTACTCTTTTTTTTTTCTCTACTACTTAAGAGTAATAGTAAAAGTTGACATAAGTGAACATTTATATCTTGGCCAAAATTAGGAGAAATTAATAAATACTTAATATACTGCACATGTTGTAACATACAGCAATTGTTAATGCTGATGAGCTGTAATACTAATTCACTTTTTAAATACATATATAGAAGTACTATGCCAAGTTGTACTAGAAATAAACAAACACTACATACAAACTTGTGGGGGTAAGGGAGAGTATACCATCATGCTATCATAGGGCCTGTCTTATTTTAGCACTAAAACATCCTGGGAATCTCTTTGTGACTGTTAGGTGCTGTTGAGTTGAGTATGACTCATAGCAGCCCTGTGAACATCAAACGTGAAACCTGTCCTATCCTATGCAATCCCCATCATCTCTGACACACTGCAAGCCATTGCTGAAGTTACTGTGTCAGTCCATCTCATTCGGGATCTTCCTCTTCTTCACTGACCCTCCATCTTTCCAAGCGTGAGGTCCCTTTCCAATGAATAGCCTCACCTACGTACATGTCCAAAGTAAGAAAGGCGAAGCTTCACAATTTTTGCCTCCAAGGAGCACTCTGTCTACACTTTTTCCAGGACTGTCTGTTTGGAGGTTTTTGGCAGTCCACGGGTTATTCAGTACTCTTCTCTAGCATCACAACTAAAAGACATTAATTCTTCCATCATCCCTATTCATTGTTCCTCTCTGAGGTATAGCAGATAAGTGGGAAGACCATGGCCTGAATCAGGCACACCTTAGTCTTCAGACTGACATCATTGCTCTTCAGCATTTTGGAGAGGTCCCTGACAATGGGCTTGCCCAATGTAATAGGTCTCCTATTTTCCTGACTGCTGGTACCAAGGATGTTGATTGTAAATCGTAGCAAGATTAAATCATTGACAGCTTCAGTCTTTTTTTAATCAGTCATAATGTTGACTGTTGGTCCTGTGAAGACCTTTGTTCTCTTGATGTTGAGATATAATCTATAATGTCGGCTATATTCTTTAAAATTCTGCTGCAAGCATTTATATCCTTTTCACTTTCAGCAAGCAAAAATGTGTCATCTTCATATCGCAGGATGACCATGAATGATCCAATCTTAATGTTACATCTTCATAGTGTTCAGCTTTGCAAATTGACCAAATATGCAGTCAAGATGCAATAATAATTATTGGTGACTGGAATGCAAAAGTTGGAAATAATGAGGAAGGAATATGGTTGGAAGGTATGAAATTGGTGACCGAAATGCGGCCAAAAAGCAAATGATTTAATTTCATGCACTCAGTGATTTGTCAATATCAAATATCTTTTTTAAAAAGCACAAATGGCAAGTTTACACATGGACTTCACCTGATGAATGGCAAGAATCAGATTAACTGTATTTTCAGAAAGAATTCTTGGAGAAGCATAGTATCTGCAGTCAGAATCAGACCAGGTGTTAATTGTTGAGCAGACCAACAATTATTCATGTGCAAGTTAAAATTAAAACTGAAGAAAATTAAAAACTAGTCCCCAGGAACCAAAATACAACTTTGAGTCTATCCCAGATGAATTTAAGAATCCTCTCAAAAAGAAGTTTGAGATATTAAACACCAGTGATCAAAGACCAGAAGGACTATTGGAGGACATCAAAGATATCATCCATGAAGAAAGCAAAAGGTTATTATTACAAAGGACAAGAAAAACCAAAGTGGATGTCAGAAAAGACTATGGGAATCTCTTTAGTTATGGGCAAATAATAATAGTTGGTTCCTATAGCAGCCTAATAATTAATAAGGGAAGTGAAAATAGGAATACATTCTTAATATTTGGATTTTGGAATGCATAAAGCAGATTATATTTTATTGCCATTAACTCTCCAGATCTAAACATAGTTAAAATTGTTTAGTAACTATCTCTGTATAATCTCTTAATTTGAGGATTTTCTAAGAGAAAGAAAGCTACTTAGGCTCTACATGTAAATTGAAAGCTTATGTTTTTTATTATTACACATGGATAAAAGTGTCTTTGTGGTACAGTGGTTAAGTGCTTAGCTACTAACCAAAAAAGTCATTTTAAACTCACCAACTATTTCAAGGCTGAAAGATGTGGCAGCCTACTTCCATAAAGATTGCTGTTGTTAAGTGCTGTCAAGTTGAGTGCGACTCATAAGGACCCTGTGAACCACAGGTCTGAACTTTGTCCTGTCCTGTACCATCTTTACCATCCTTGACATATTTGAGTCCATTGCCACAGACGTTATCCATCCTCTTATTGAGGGTCTTCCTCTCTTTTGCAGATTTTCTACCTTTCCAAGCATGATGTCTCTTTTCAAGGAATAGCCTTTCCTAAAAACATCTACTAAGTCTGTGACACAAAGCTTTGCTACCCTTTTCTCTAAGGAACACTTTACTTTCTCTAAGACATACCTGTTTGTTGTCTTTGCAAACAGTGGCATATTCAGCACTCTTTTTCTGACACCACAACTCAAATGCCTCATTCTTCTGTCATCCTTATTCATTGTCCAGCTCTCAGATGCATTACAGGTGATTTTAAAGACTATGGTTTGAATCAGGTACACCTTAGTCTTTAAGCTGACTTCATTCCTCTTCAGGACTTTGGATAAGTTCCTGACAGCAGACTTTCCAGTGTTCTACGTCTTCCAGTCTCCTGAAGGCTCCTCTCAAGGATGTTGTCTGTGGTCCTAAGCAAGATAATTGTTGACAGTTTCAATCTTTTCTCCATCTATCATGCTTTTGCCTATTGGCCCAGTGGTGAGCACTTTTGTTTCCTTGATGTTAAGATGTAATCCGTGTTGAAGGCTGCAGTTTTTGATCTCCTGCAGAAAGCATGTCATATCCTCCTAACTTTAGTCATCAGCATAAAACAGGTAGTTGATGAGCCTGCCTCTAATTCTGATGCCATACTCTTCTTCATAATGTCCACCTTCTCAAATTATTTGCTCAGTGTACAGATTGAATAGGTATGGAGAGAGGATAGAGCCCTGGTGCACACCTTTTTTGTTCTTAACCCATGCCGTGTTCCCTTGCTCTATTGGGACAACAGCTTCTTGATCCAGGTGTAGATTTTGTATAAGCA